AGGGTTCTTATTAGACTGGACCCGACCAGAACCAAAGCCCTCAGAGCCGCAGAACTCTCTGCAGGGTTCTGTCCACACTGAGACACTGGACCCGACCAGAACCCTGCAGGAGCTACACCGGGCCTGAAGGTGGCGCTGAAAATACACAGAACCTGCAGACTGTAAACACAAGAACCAGAACCGGATCCTCCCTGTGGACTGAAGACGGATCAGAACCTTTGGGTCACATCAAACAGCTGCTGACTGGGAGACGGGTCGGTCCAAACACGAGGACGTGATGATGGACCGACCCAATTTTAAATATTATTAATTTTCATGTAATTAGTTTAAACAGAAAGCTGCAGAATCGAACCAGAACCAGCAGCTGATCAAAGATTTGGGTCGCTTTACCTTCAGACTGAAGCCGGTTCTGTTCAGGTCCGTCACGCGACCCGTGGACAGATTTAAGAAAACCCAACTTTTGGAGTCTGACAGTTTCAAAATGGCCTCCACAGCTAATCACCGTTAGCCAACAACTTGGTTCTGGTGTCAGAGTCGGTACAGGTACTGGGTTTGGTTCTGGTCCAGTTTAAACCATTTGTTCTCGCATGTTGCAGTCTGAGCTCTGTATGAAGCGGGTCGTCCCTGGTGAGCGGTACCAGAACCCGAGCGGTACCTGTTTAAAGCGAGCGAGCTCCTTCAGGGCCCGCCCCCACTGCTGCTTGTAGTGCAGTTTGGACTTGGTGCTGGACTCCAGCTTCCTCTCCAGCTCCACCTGGAAAACAGACAGACACCTGAAGGTTCTGGACTGGGAGGCCCGTCTCGTTAAACGTTTGGTTCTGGAAAACTAACTTTTATTCCGTGTTTTAAAACAGAGTTGCTGCAGCAGCATTAATCTGTAATCTGAGTTAATCCAGGTGCCCACCTTCTCCAGGGTCAGCAGGTTGAGTTCTGACTGCAGTCCGACTTCGGGTCGGAGGTTCTGTTGTTCCCTGTAGTTCTGGAACTCTCTCTCCAGCTGTTTGTAACGCGCTTCTCCGTCTGCGATCTGAACACAAACACCCGTCACCTTTGACCCAGGTGACGGAGGTTTAGCTCCGCCCCCTTCTCTACCTGCTGCAGCAGCCGCGCCCGCTCCTCCTCCATCAGCCGGACCTTTTCCCGCTCCAGCTCCACCCGGTGGTCGCTCTCCCTCTGCAGCCTCCGGCTCGCCTCCTGCAGCTCCTTCAGGGTCAGCTCGTGTTCGGCTCGGAGCTCCCGCTGCAGCCGCTGCGTCTGAGGAACCCACAAACACAAACAAACCATAAACAAACAAACAATCTGAACACAAACAAACCAAACACAAACAAACAATAAACAAAGCAATCCAAACACAAACAGACAACAAAACAAACAAAACAATCAATCCAAACACAAATGCAAACAAAACAAACAAACAAATAACAAATTAAACAATCAATCCAAACACAAACACAAACAAACAAATAATAAATAAAACAAACAAACAATCAAACACAAACACGTCTGAGGAACCAACAAACAATCAACAAAAACAGACTCTTCCCTCCTCTGAGCTTCAGGGTGCAACTCTTCATCCTCCTCAGTAGAAACATTTTATTTACCTCACAGTAAACAAACAGTTGTTTACTGGAGCCCAGCCTCTGTTTGTTTGTTTTTCTTCTTTCGGCTGCTCCTTTTTTTCAGGGTCTCCACAGCGACGATGTCTCACGAAGACGTGGCAGCTGTTTTTACACCAGATGTTCTTCCTGACTCAACCTCAGCCTCTGAGTGGAGCAGAGAGCTGCATCCAGGACACCCGGAGGAGCAGGTGGGGGTGAAGGGCCTTGCTCAAGGGCCCAGGGTGGGACGAATGAGGGTGGGGGCAGGTGTGGGTGCTTCACCTACACCACCCACATTTATGATGATGTCGGTACCGGGGCTTGAACCGGCGATCTTCCGATCACAGGCCCACCTTCTCTAACCTCTGCGCCACCACTCCCCCTTAAATAATTTAAATTGATTGTTTATTAAAAAATAAAAATAAATAGATGAAACGTTTGTTTTAGTTTGTTTTGATGTAGAAACATAATTTTATTGATTCAACACCAAAGATTTATAAAAATTATACTTTACTCCAACCTACGAGTCAAAAATATAAATATAAAAAGGTTTTTACCTGTAAATCATTAAATAACTTAATCTGCAGTAATAGTTGTTGCTCAGATTATTTCTGTGTTCTCAGGACGGTTTAATCTTTAATTTTGATTATTATTTGTTATTCTTCAGTTTTGATCAGAACGATTTGTCTCGTTAAAGTTAAAACAACAAGTTTATTTGTTTTGGCAGCTTCTGGAATAAAACTTCAATTCAACAAGTTTAAAACTTTTTCTTACGTTAAATGATGAATTTAAAATAATCTCAGTGACGCAGTTTAAAACTTGTTTACTGGATTTTAATCTGTTTCTTTATTTGAAGACAAAATTTTAGTTTAAGGTAAATTTTTATGAACGTGTTGTTTTTGATTCGTGATCAAAAATTATAAACACAAATAAACTGAACTGTTTATTTATTATTGATTTATTTATTTTTAGTCAGACTAGTATCAGCCCAGGATCCTAACAAGACCTGGATCCAGGATCCCAGCGAGACCTGGGTCCAGGATCCCAGCGAGACCTGGGTCCAGGATCCCAGCGAGACCTGGGTCCAGGATCCCAGCGAGACCTGGGTCCAGGATCCCAATGAGACCTGGGCCCAGGATCCTAACAAGACCTGGATCCAGGATCCCAGCGAGACCTGGGTCCAGGATCCCAGCGAGACCTGG